TTTTTTAAGATTTTATTGGGGAATTGGGGAAGGGGAACAGCCAAGTTGTGGTCCTTCAGTCTTAGTTGTGGAAGGTGTAGCTACCTCAGCTCCCAAGTCTAGTCACCATCCGACCACCTGCCGGCAGCTCAGGGCAGCTCAGCTCAAGGTGCCATGTTCAATCTTAGTTGCGGCGGAAGGGGGGGGCACAGCCCCCATCCTATGCAGGAGTCGAACCAGCAACATTGTTGTTAGGAGCACGTGCTCTCACCAGCTGAGCCATCCTGCCACGTGTTGGCAGCTCAGTGGCAGCTCAACTCAGGCGCAGCTCACTGGCCCATGTGGGGGATCAAACTAGTGATGCTATTGCTCAGAACTCGCGCTCCTAACCAACTGAGCCACTCGGCCGGCCTGCAAAAAAATTTTTTTCAAGTAATAGACCCGATATCTGAGGTTGATATTACCTTACCAAACACTAAGAAATTCCCACTGATTCTACCTCAGACACAACTCCCCTGAAAACTCTTTCCCCATACTTTGTGGAACATCAGAAAGGTGATTCATACAGGTTTGTTACAGTCCTTTTCCCACAGGCGTGCGTTCTCCACAATACTGACAGCCCCTCAAGAGGAGTGATTAAAGGAGAACAGCTGTGAAGGTGCAGCAACCACAACCCTCTTGAGAGGAAGGAAGGTGAAACGCTGATTAATAATCTCTACTCTAGGGATTATTCCAGGAAATTCAAACCTGAAATCCTCAGACAGCTGCCCACGGGAGCATGGACTTCTACTTTGTGATTCCAACATTCAACTGCTCTCTTCTCTCTCTTGCAGAAACTAGAATTAGAGTTAGGAAACCTGGTTCTAATCCCAGCTCTGGATTTATTTATTTTATTTTTTTCCCTAAACTGTAAGATGTTGGCAAGTTCCCTCACCTCTCTGGGACTCAGTGTTCTCTTTAAAATTAGAGACTTGCATGCACTATTTGGTTTCCTATATCCGACATGACTGTGATTGTTTGACTCAGGGTATAGCTCCATTTTCCCATACGTGTGACCACCAGGGATTGCTTTGGAAGATATGCCACGACCATCTGGCAATGACTGAGCATCATTGTACATGTGGAATAACACAGGTCCAAACAACACCTGGCCTCCAGGGACATTACAGATCCCTCTTGTATGCCTCAACGTTGAGACTGACGTGAAATATGGGACTATCAAAGAAAATGGTATATAGTTCCTGCAATATCCCCCACTGCCGCCAGATGGCAGTAAAGGAACATGTCAGAAAGTTGACCCCCAAGGTGCTCAAACGCTCTGGTTTACCACTGACCATCCTGGTTCAGGCTGGTGGACCTGGCATAATTATTAACACCCTTTTTCACATATCAAAGGGTCCTGGTTTGGACAATAATCTATATGACCGTTGTAGATTATGACACAAATTATAGCATCTTTCTGTTAAAAGTAATTGTTTATTAACATTGCAGTGAGTTTTGTTAAAGAAAATTGTATTCTTTAATAAGGCAGAGTTTATTC